GTAAAAACTCTGTACCATGGAAAGTGCTGCTAGAATCCTACTGTCCTCTTATAGAAATAATTATTCAACAATTTTGGATGAAACCTTAAGCTTCCCAAAATTTTTACATTTTGTTCATAACATCGCAAAAAATGCATCAATTCCCATAAACCATATGATTCTAGCAGCACTTTCCAAAAACAAAAGAATAAGAACTTTAAATAGAAACAAAAATTAAGTTTCAAGGTATGCGGCGTAGTGTTTGAACTTTTGCATCTTTTTTGTTACGAACGACAGAGGAAAGGCCGATCGGGAAGTAAACACCTCCCAGATTTAATTTTACGAAGAAATTGCAGAATTATATTACCATACCTTATTCATACGCTTTATTCCCACAAGAATCACACATGTTATTCATTCTAAATGCTTTTAAACTCCGATTTCTTGTTTTTTGTTTACATCAATTCTCGTTACTTTTCACTTTCACTCTGCTACTGCATGATCAACAGTTATGACGTCACGGGTTTGGTATGTAACATCTGTGATAACTACAGAGGCCCAGGAACGACAAAATTCTGTGATATTATTCCTCTGCATATTTTGGTTCATTTTTACGACCTCAAATCAATCTTAGATATCGATTTTAAGAAATTGTTATCTCTAAATCTCACGTCATATAGCTTATTATGACGTCATATATATAGGCAAGTAGAATATTTGGTTGTAACCTTAACCTACCTGCGTATATGAGGTTTAATAATTCATGTTGTACATCTTAATATTTCTTTATTTAACACACATTGCCTTAAGGCTTTGGAATTGGGGGTTGGAGGGTTGGCAATGTATAGAATACTACAGAAAACTTAAGTACTTTATGCACGCTGGTCCCCTCCCCATTAAATCGTTTGATTACCTTTTTGGCTTGTTAAAGAATTTCTGGAGTTCAGCCCTCCCCCCCCCCCCTCCAACCCACTTTTAAGTTTGTGACTTCGCCTCTGTAAAGTAAGGCCTTTTCACAAGAAACACAGATGTGAAATATAAATCCTAGCACCACCTTTTCACAGGTTGTGACCAAGGTTAACGATTTTAAAGGTAGAGCAAACTCCGGGGTCAAGATCAAAGGGTCATGGTTGTTAGTTTTTTTAAAAAGTCTTGTCTCAAAGATTTCATATGAGAAGTATGAATGCCCTGGGCCTTACGGTTCAAAATGTATGGCCAAGGTTAAAGTTTGTAAAGAGTAGGTCAAACTCCAAGGTCAAGGTCAAATGGTAAAAGTTTTTGATATCCGATGAAAAGGTCGTCTCACAGGAATTATACATTTGAAGTATGAAAGCCCTAGCCCTTACCGTTCAAACGTTATGGCCAAGGTTAACGTTTTTTCGTAAGTAAGAAAATCTCCAAGGTTAAGGTAAAAGGTCAAAATTGTTTATTTTAAATGAAGAATTGATATTTGAGATATGAAATTTCTAGCACCTACCGTATAGAAATATGAGTCATAGTAAAAGTTTGGATGTTTTGTGTAAAAATGGATCAACCTCAAAGGTCAAGATCAAAAAGTCTTGATATCAAATGAAAGGTGTTGTCACAAGGATAAAATATTTGAAATGTGCAAGCCTTAGTCTTAACCCTTCAAAAAATATCTGTACTAGCTCAAATCCCGCGCAAGCGCGGGGGGGATTGATATTTTTTTTACTGCTAACAGCTAGAACTATTTTCCAAAAAAAATATCTGAGAATTATTACACATGTAAATAGGCCTACAGCGTGACGAAATACTTCAAAGTTCCACAATTAGTTTAGGAGGACAAATAAATGATTATTAGAAATACATTCTCTTATATTTTGTTGTTTCTTCTTTGTTCTACAAATATCATTTTCATTAAAGGCCTCTTGTTCTTACATGTTAGAAAGCAACTTTATTCTGTTTTGAATTTGCAGCGTTATTATATGTATATACTAAACCAAGTAAAAGTGACCTTGAAAACCCCTCCCCAGAAAAAAAAAGTTCCGTCGAAAACACGGATCTATGTTGTATTGGTATGAAAGTCATTAGAATCATTGAAAGTCATCCACTACACCCTACCCCACCCCACAAAATAGGTTCTTTGATTTTTTTGCTTTCAAGAAATTTTCTGGAATTTTCTGGAATGAAATCATTTTTTTGACTGGGGTCGACACCCCCCCCCCCCCCCCTCCCTTCTGGAAAAAAATCTTGAACCGCGCTTGGTCGTACTATCTTATACATTATGTGCTACAGGTGCTCATCGGAATTTTCTCTTTATATGTTAGAAACTTTATTTTAATATAGTTTGAGCTATATTATTGCTTATTATACTTCAGATGATATGTTTCCATTTACGTCAAGGATACGAGAATGAATGTACTCTATATTAACTATTAACTATAATTTCCGTACATTTTTCAGCATTTTGAAATATTGAAAAAAAGCTTTTTCATCTTATATGTACATATGGACATAAAGGGGATAAATAATTTTTATCAAAAAAATATACTGCACATGTATGTAGAATACATTAAAATATTTAAAAATCAAAATTATACCATTTTATATGTCTTAACAAGTAAACATGGCTATTCATCGACAATTTTTGTTTATAAATTATTTGCACAACCTACTAAGATATATTCTCAAACTCAATGTGTTACCAATTTCTTTACATTTATTTGCTACTCCTACAAGTAAGAGCCTCCGTTAACGTCCCTACGCTCCTTATATACCTCGGACTCTTACATCCGAATGCCATTTTCTAATGAGCTCGTTCCGCCTGAGATTTTGGGCGGAACGTATTATGTTCGAAATAAATTGTTAACAAGTAATTTTCAGGTACCTATGTGTTTTCATTGGGTATGAAAGTCACAAGAAATCATAAAATACATTTTATTCAGTGTGCATTATTGTTAATTAATGAAAATTGTCACTATACGAATTTGTCACCAGAAGTACTTTCGATTTGACTTTACATTAATTTTGCGGATTGCTTGTCAGAAAACGAAATTTTCGTTGCGTTACACTAGTTTCGCTTCGTTAGATTTTCTGAATTCTATTTCTGAATTTTGAACAGACAACGTGTTTCAATTTCTGCTTCGATTTAAAAAATAATAGATTTATTGCTAATACGAGAGGTTAACAGTGTTTTATGCGTAAGTTTTGTCGTAAATATTTGAGAATTTTATTATTTCGTACCATTCGTTAATATACAAAACCTTATTTTTAAATAAAATGATTTTTTTCCACTTGGGGTTTCAGCGGCAAGAATTTTTACAATGGATGCTAGAGGTTACGCGGCGGCAAGTCAAACGTATCTCGCCGTGAACCTCTAGCATGCTGAAGTAATTTATTTCCATGTCCATTCATGATAAACAATCGCCTCGATTTTCTTTTTTAAATCGGGTTCGATGCCACCTGACTTTCTAGAACTTTCAACAAATGAAAATCGGACATAAACGGAAAGGATTTGCACATTTTTGTATTTTAACCAACGACCAGAGGTTATTTGTTTCATATCACTTAAATCAAGTTTTGATTGAATAATTTATTCATGCCGTGTTATGAAATAAATATATAAGCGCTTGCTTGTCGTAAGTTTTTTTTTAAATGCCAGTTACTTAGATCCGCCACCACTTTACTCCTTTTAGTGCTATTTCGAGGCTGTTAACCGAAAGTAAAAGTAGACTTTTAATTAAATTTACGATAATTACTACGCGAGTGAAATCTGAATATAGTTTACGGACATCATCTTATACCTAGTATATTCCTACAGGCTTAAGTGAGAACTCTTGTGCAGCCGTTTCTGAGTTTATTTGCAAAATTTGTTAATTTATAAATATAGATTTTAAATGTCTACAAGTATGCCCCTGGTTATATTTAGGTAGGTCGCGGGTTTGCTTTTATCATCATTTTTGGTACACAATTTTGACGATTCGAGCGGTTGTTTTGTGCACATTTGATTATGACGTCAGTTACGTCACAAAGGCAACGTCATGTTGTTTCCCGTTTAATTCTCTGCAAATGACTTCAAGTCTGTACGAATTTAAAAGTAAACTTAACACAAAGTGCGTGCTTTTGTACGTAAACCTCTTACATGTTTTATAATTAAATTTAAGTCTGAATTCTGGTGTGATTTTATGTAATGTCTTAGGACTAATTAAATACAATACCAAATGAAAGCAATAAATTATATTTGAAGTGTAACTAACTTGCTTAATGTCAGAAAAAATCAGCGTAAAAGTTATGGCCTGCAGAAAAAAAGTTATAATGAATAAAAATTGCTAAGCGAGAAACTTGAGGGATTGTATGTGCGCACGTTATTTGAAACTCAGGGAAACTTGACTTCAAATCAAAGCCGGGGCGAAAATATATCAAATTTAATATGGGTATCCGGTTTACTTTTCATATGATTTCAAATTGAATGACATGAAAATACCCTATTTTCTACATAATTCTGCTAAAGCCGTGAAGTACGGGAAAAAGAAATTTGAAATTGATTATGACGTCATAATGGATCTAGCACCAAAAAATTAGTTTCAAGTTATTTACTAGATCTTGACCTTAATACATTGAATTTTATACGAAATAACATTTAACGTACTAGATTTAAGTTAAAATTATATTAAATAGTCTTGTCAATGTCTTTTTATTAAATATTTTCTTGATATGACTTTAAATTAGTCACATTTATATCATATTGCAATTTTTTATGATGTGCATTCCTTTCCATAATTATTTGTTACTTATTCATTTTCTTGGTGTTTGATTACTAGTTTTCTAATAATTATGATCCTTTTAAATAAAAAGTACAATATTTGATAAACGATAAGATCTTTAAACTGAAATTAATCCCAATAATTTATATAATATTTGAATCCCGTTTAGTGCAAAAAGGCCAGGTATATAAGCATCGGTAAATTACCCATCTCTCATAAGTTTGAAGGGAAAACTATATATTTCAATCACTTTTTGTAATCATTGGAGAATATTCTAAGTCATAACAAAGATTGAAGACATCATAACATAGACTTCTGAATTTTTTTTTTGAAAATTGACCCCCAAAAAAGAGGTCATTTGCCAATCATTTATTAAGTGTGGACTTTTTTATGTAAATTGAATAAAAAAGAAATTCTTGAGAAATATTTCTTAATATTGTTCAGTTGATAAAGTATATAAACAAAGATCTTTGAAGACGTATTTTTTTATGATTTTTTAATATTATCTTCTTGACAAGTACCCCTAAAAATAACTGCAAATGGGTAGTCGCAGTAAGTAATTACCATTCCAAGTTTCACAGGCTGTGATACATTAAAAAAAGGGAAACACATCATGAGCTTTTAACTAATTGATAAGCAAGTACTAATTTAACTTTTCCCCTTTTAAAATCCAGTGTTGAAGCTTAAAAATCTTTTGACAAAGACTTTTCCTACATAGGTTCTACCGTAAAATGAAATAAAACTGATAAATAATAATTCTTACTTTTGTGATTTCTAATTCATGTCAAACATTCCCTTATTGGCTTTTATTATAAAAAAAATATTCGTTTCACAGAATTGATTTGAGTTTTGCGTTATTAATCAATTGATCTAGAAAATATATTGATTTATTTCCATTTTCAAACAACATTACATATACTCATGTGCACAAGGAATAGTTTGTGGAAAAAAAATTAATTTTAAATTGATCAATCAATCTATCTTAATTTAGAATTTCAAGATTGTTTCATGAATTTCTTTGATGCACACTTGGTAGTGACACAATGGTGCAGATGACACTTAATATTTCATAATGACTGCACATCATCAAAATATACAATCCAACATCAAATCTCCCATTGCGATAAAGAGTAAATAATGTCTTTTCCCTTCATAAAGCCTGTGGATCTTGAAGCTTCCAAATCACTGCCAAATATCACTTTTAACTGAAAGCTTACAAATGAAAATGATAAATATAAAATAATAAAGAAAATGATTTCTTCCTGTTCATGAGAGTGTATTATCTAACGCTAACCCTGTATCATCAGTTTCAATCATTTTCATGCAAATGTTTCTCTAATTTCTGCACAACTTTTTCAGTTGATACTAAAAATACATTCATTTTTATCCTTTTTCAAAAAATTTACTTGTGTACATGTGCACAAGAACATATGGGTCTCAAAACCTAAGGCCTACTAGATTGATCTTTATCAAATTTCAAAAGAATTTTTTTTAAAAAGTTCATGTTCATTTACTTAAAACAGAGGTGTAGATGAAACAAAGTACCTGGTATTCAATAATGATGACACATATTCAAAATATATCTTCAATAATAATTTGTCACATTGTGATTAAAAGTCAGTAGCTTTGTTTTCTCTTGATAAAGTCTTTAGATCTTGGACATTCAAAATTACTCCCAAATCATACTTAAACTGAATGCTTAAAAAAGTTTAAAAAATGAATATTTAAGCTTTCTCCCTATTCATGAGAGTACATCTTCATTCTCTGGTATCATTTCTCAGAAATTAACATATCAAAAATTCCCTTATTGGCTTTCATTTTTAAAAAAAATCCATTATACAGATTTTTTTTCAGTTTTGCATTAATTAATCAATTGATTTAGTTAATATATTGACTTATTTCCAATTTCAAACAACCTTACATATACTCATGTGCACAAGGATAAAGCCTTTAGATCTTGGGAATTCAAAATTAATCCCAATTATATTTAAACTTAGATGTGTTTAAAAAAATGATATTTAAGATTTCTCCCTATTCATGAGAGTACATCATCACCCTTTGGTATAATTTTTCACAAATTAACATATCAAAAATTCCCTTATTGGCTTTTATTATAAAAAAAATCCATTTAATAGAATTTTTTTCATTTTTGAATTAATTCATCAATTGATTTTAAAAATATATTGATTTATTTTCAATAACAAACAACCTTACATTTACTCATGTGCACAAGGAATAGTTTGTGGGAAAAAAATAAGTCTTAATTGATAAATCATTCTATCTTCCTTTAGAATTTCAAGATTGTTTCATGAAATTTTTTCATACACACTTACCTGGTAGTAACATTATGATGCAGTTGACATTTAATACTTCAGAATGACTGCACATCATTAAAATATACAATCCAACATCAAATCTCCATTTGCGATAAAAAGTCAATAATTGTCTATTCTCTTGATAAAGTCTTTGGATCTTGACGCTTCCAAATCACTGCAATTTATCACTTTTAACTGAAAGCTTACAAATGAAAATGGTGAATATAAAATAATGAAGAACATGATATCTCCCTGTTCATGAGAGTGTATCATCAATTTTAATCATTTTCATGCAAATGTATCTGTTATGTTTGCAAAACTTTATCAACTGATTAAGAAAATACATTCATTTTTATCTTTTTCAATAATTTACTTGTGCACATGTGCACAAGAACATATGGGTCTCAAAAACTAAGCCCTACTTGATTGATCTGTATCATATTTCAAAAGGATTTCAAAAAAGATTTTCATGCACACTTACATATGCTTCTGAAACTGAGATATAGATGACATAAAGTATTCAATAATGACTTCATATCATCAAAATATATCTTCCATTTTAAAATGTCACATTGCGATTAAAAGTAAGTAGCTTCCTTTTCCCTTGATAAAGCTTTTAAATCTTTGAAATTCAAAATTTCTCCCAAATCATATTTAAGCTGAATGCTTAGAAATGTTTTTAAAAAATGCACACCGGTATTTAAGATTCCTCCCTATTCATGAGAGTACATCATCACTCTCTGGTATTATTTCCCATAAATTAACATATCAAAAATTCCCTTATTAGCTTTTATTATAAAAAAAAATCCATTTCATAGAATTTTTTTTTTACTTTTGCATTATTTAATCAGTTGATTTAGAAAATTTATTGAATTATGTCTAATATCAAACAACATTACATAATTATACTCATGTGCACAAGGAATAGTTTGTGGGAAAAAAACTAAGTCTAAATTGATAAATTATTCTATCTTCCTTTAGAATTTCAAGATAGTTTCATGAATTTTTCATGCACACTTACTTGGTAGTGACACAATGATGCAGATGACACTTTATACTTCACAATGACTGCACATGATCAAAATATACAATCTAACATCAAATCTCCCATTGCGATAAAGAGTAAATAACTGTCTTTTCCATTGATAAAGCCTGTGGATCTTGACGCTTCCAAATCATTGCCATATATCACTTTTAACTGAAAGCTTACAAATGAAAATGATGAATATAAAATAATTAAGAACATGATTTCTCCCTGTTCATGAGAGTGTATCATCAATTTTAATCATTTTCATGCAAATGTATCTGTTATGTTTGCACAACTTTATCAACTGATTAAACAAATACATTCATTTTTATCTTTTTCAATAATTTACTTGTGCACATGTGCACAAGAACATATGGGTCTCAAAAACTAAGCCCTACTTGATTGATCTGTATCATATTTCAAAAGGATTTCAAAAAATATTTTCATGCACACTTACATATGCTTCTGAAACTGAGATATAGATGACATAAAGTATTCAATAATGACTTCATATCATCAAAATATATCTTCCATTTTAAAATGTCACATTGCGATTAAAAGTAAGTAGCTTCCTTTTCCCTTGATAAAGCTTTTAAATCTTTGAAATTCAAAATTTCTCCCAAATCATATTTAAGCTGAATGCTTAGAAATGTTTTTAAAAAATGCACACCGGTATTTAAGATTCCTCCCTATTCATGAGAGTACATCATCACTCTCTGGTATTATTTCCCATAAATTAACAAATCAAAAATTCCCTTATTAGCTTTTATTATAAAAAAAAAATCCATTTCATAGAATTTTTTTTTTTACTTTTGCATTATTTAATCAGTTGATTTAGAAAAAAATATAGATATATTTCCAATATCAAACAACCTTACATATACTCATGTGCACAAGGAATAGTTTGTGGGAAAAAAACTAAGTCTAAATTGATAAATTATTCTATCTTCCTTTAGAATTTCAAGATAGTTTCATGAATTTTTCATGCACACTTACTTGGTAGTGACACAATGATGCAGATGACACTTTATAATTCACAATGACTGCACATGATCAAAATATACAATCTAACATCAAATCTCCCATTGCGATAAAGAGTAAATAACTGTCTTTTCCATTGATAAGGCCTGTGGATCTTGACGCTTCCAAATCATTGCCATATATCACTTTTAACTGAATGTGACAATTTTAATCATTTTTGCAATATGTATCTGTTATGTTTGCACAACTTTATCAACTGATTAAGAAAATACATTCATTTTTATCTTTTTCAAAAAAGATTACTTGTGCACATGTGCACAAGAACATATGGGTCTCAAATACTAAGCCCTACTTGATTGATCTGTATCATATTTCAAAAGGATTTCAAACAAGATTTTCATGCACACTTACATATCATATTTCAAAAGGATTTCAAACAAGGTTTTCATGCACACTTACATATGCTTCTGAAACTGAGATAAAGATGACATAAAGAATTCAATAATGAGTTCATATCATCAAAATATATCTTCCATTTTAAAATGTCACATTGTTTAAAATTTTATATTTATCATTTTCATTTGTAAAGCTTTTAAATCTTTGAAATTCAAAATTTCTCCCAAATCATATTTAAGCTGAATGCTTAGAAATGTTTTTAAAAAATGCACACCGGTATTTAAGATTCCTCCCTATTCATGAGAGTACATCACTGTGCAGTCTGGCATTATTTCCCATAATTTAACAAATCAAAAATGTCACTACCAAGTGTGCAAAAAAAAAATCCATTCCATAAAATTTGTTTTTTTACTTTTGCATTATTTAATCAGTTGATTTAGAAAATTTATTGAATTATGTCTAATATCAAACAATATTACATAATTATACTCATGTGCACAAGGAATAGTTTGTGGGAAAAAAAACTAAGTCTAAATTGATAAATTATTCTATCTTCCTTTAGAATTTCAAGATAGTTTCATGAATTTTTAATGCACACTTACTTGGTAGTGACACAATGATGCACATGACACTTTATACTTCACAATGACTGCACATGATCAAAATATACAATCTAACATCAAATCTCCCATTGCGATAAAGAGTAAATAACTGTCTTTTCCATTGATAAGGCCTGTGGATCTTGACGCTTCCAAATCATTGCCATATATCACTTTTAACTGAAAGCTTACAAGTAAAAATGATGAATATAAAATAATTAAGAACATGATTTCTCCCTGTTCATTTATTTTTATCAAGAAGATAATATTAAAAAATAGATAAAAAAATACTTCTTCAAAGAATTGCTTTTTTGTTTATATACTTTATCAACTGAACAATATTAAGAAAATATTATTCAAGAATTTGTTTTATTCAATTTACAAAAATTCCACACTTAAGGATATACAATCCTCAGTTAACACAGTAATTTTTTTATAATTTTAAAGTTCGGTCTTAGCATACTGCATCACTTTTTCTTCACCGTTTTCATTTTATGCCTCACAACCAATCGCATCTTTAAAGGTTTAAACAAATGGTATAACCATCTACATCCGGATATCCAAAATTAAGTTAAGTTTGTCATATTTCATGAAAATGATCACATTCATGGGTCCACTTCCACATACAGTTTTTTTAAAAGTTAAGGAAATTAGAAGGCATTTTGCTGTTTTATGTAAAAGGAAACACTTCATACACTATGCAATAGTAAGACATAATACCCAGAAATCTTCGTAAGTCTGTCACATTTTTAGGAATCCATATATTCTTTTTGCCGCAATTTTCTTAGGATCTTTGCACACCATGTCTTGAAATATATTTCCCAGGAATTCTATTTCTTGTCTAAGAAATTTGCAATAGGTTGTTCAAATTTCAGGTTCGCTGAAAAATTATTTGAAACTTGATTAAGATTTTCCTATATAATATCGGAAACTTTTGCCGAACAGTATAAAGAAACACCATGGGCATACATTTCATTTTACTGCAATCCATAGAGAGGTTTTTCTATTATCCTTTGGAATGCGCTGGCGCATTACACAAACCAATGGCATAACATTATAAATGATTGGCAAATCCTCCTTTTTTGGGGGTGCTGTTTTCTCCTTAAAATGCTTCCGACATCGGTACTCTATAATACGCCATATTTCAATGTTTGTTATGACTTAGAATATTCTCAAATGATTCATCTAGTCTTGGAATTGGATATGCGTCCTTTATCGTTCTTGAATTAAGTCTGGGATAATCCACGCACACTCTCCACGATACCTGGCCTTTTGCACTAACACAAGCTGAGATATAAATTATGGGATTAATTTCAGTTTAAAGATCTTATCGTTTATCAATGCATCCAGAATATCACGCTTAAATTTAAAAGGATCATAATGCCGTAGAAACTAGGTTCCCGTAAAACACCGTCACTCAGAACGATATGATGTTCTCCAAAGGAATGTCCTAAATGTCCATGATAGATAACACAAAAATTCAGCAAATAATATCTGCAGAAACTTCTTAAGAAAGTCGCCTTTTCCCTCAGAGAGGTGAATTCGACCTTTTTCAAACAAGATTTAAGTGATCTGGTAACTCCTTTGGACCGTTTTCCTCCACGAGATTAACTTCACTTGAATTAATATGCTCACTAAGACACTTTAATCACAGGAGAAAATATTGCAATTTTAACACCGTGTTTTGCTGTTTATATTAACCGAATTTTCTTGCCAGTACTAACAGTAATCTATGTCGTGGTGAATTGACAATCTTACAAAGAAAAAACACAAAATATATCATTGTCAAAGAGAGAGATATTTGACATTATTATGTGCAACTCTGTTGCTTGAACTGTATATTTTTGACAGCTATAATAGTTTGTTACGTAAAAAGAGTTAGATCATTTTAAAATTTGAAGAACATAACCTACATTAAATTTTGAATAAAAGTCTACTCCTACTAGATTTTGAGAAACTCTACCGACAAATACTCTTAAATCCGTCTCAAAGTCGTCAAAGTTGAAAGTCATGTACGCTGTTCCTATTACAATTAAATCTTGGCCACTCGCAGTCATAAAATTTGATAACTTTTGTCTCCTACCTGATATGTAGGCTTTGCGTTCACTGCATAAATATCTTTTCTTGTGTTCTAGATTCTTTGTGGATTGTTCCTCGCCTATCCGGATACATTCCTCTTGCATGGCTGGAGTACCTACTTCTTGAACTGTTTTCGGTCGCGTTCGCTTAACTGCCATTCTGAACTCTTCGTTTTCAGAACAATTGTCAAGAAATGTCTTCAGACTGTTTTCCTCGATGCAGGCTCGGTTACTAGGATAAGCTCTTCTATATAGATCTTCTACAGCTTGTCCGTAATCTCTGAATGTTTCCATTTGCACGTTTTCGGCGCCATTTTGCTTCAGCAATGTAGTTATCCCATAAGGCTGTCTGTCCAAATTTCTGTTTAATGCATCTGTCAAAAGCTTATAATTCCCCAAGTATCGTCTGGCAGTCCGTACGCATAAAGTCTCTGCCTGACCGCGTAAAGTGGTCAACAGCACACCTCTTTTCCTTTGCATAGTCCACTGGTTTAAAGTAGCAACATTCTCAAAATATCTATAGAACTCCGTCCAGGTAGCTGCTCCATCTCCGGAAAATGTTCGTTTAACTGGAATACTTACAGTGCTTCCAGCTTGATTAGTAATTCCTGGTGTGGCGACAAAATCACTTCTATCTCTCGGCGATATCCGTCTCCTGATCTTTCTTTAGATTTCCAAAATTTACACAAAACACTGATCAATATGACAACCACGACTAGAAAAACGAATATAATGATCAACTCTCGCGTAGCCCACAATACTAAGTCTCCTGGAAAGAATCTATAGGTCACAAACGATAGAGATGTACAAAGTGAAATCAATCCGAACCAAAATCCGATTAGATATCTCCATCCTGCCGATTTCTCTCGTTCTCTTCCTGGGAGCTATATCCGTTTCTGCTACTGGAGTATTTAGGTCGTCTCCGTAAATCGGACAAACGGGTGAATAGGCTTCATTGAATTCTGTCAATAAGTTTCGACGTAAAGCACTACGCGGGGGAGTTTGTGGAATATCCGTAGTTCCTCGAGGCGTAGTCATCTTAATTTTATTTTCCTCCAAAGGTTGCATATAAAGCAAGCAGATAATTATTACATGTGTCACTAAAACGGCACTTACAAAGATATCCAGCCTGGTAAAATTCTAAAATTATATACACATCTAAATCCAAACGAATTCACAAAAATTTTATCGGTGTGACACAAATGTTTCCTTGAATGCCTTAATACGACAGCCGCAAAATGAACATTTGTAAAAATCACTTTTCCCTCCGTCTGCTGTTGCCATGCACTGACGATTCTCGGATTTCATGAACATAACAAAGCAGTTGGGACATTCCTTTCGTCCACTTAGGTCAATCTGCCCAATAAGAATAAAATTCCCATTTTCCGTAATGTATAATAATTCACAAATCTTTGTTGTCTTTGCGTATCCAAAATTACGAATTAGTAAATCCCACAAGAATGAATTACCACTGTAAAAATTCCAAGCGTTAATCCAGTTTTCGTTTTAATCCATATCACCATTAACGAAAATTGTATCCCACCGCTGCCACAACTTGTAGCGTTATTATTTTCCGAACATGTAAATCCTAAATAATTGATATTCCATCCACAAACACTACTATATTCCTTTTCTCTTAAATGAAAACACGGCATCAAGTTCACAATTTATTAATGGCGATAAATCAAAAACATAGCATATAAACAAAACAGACGAGTGACTTGGTCAAAATTTTCCTAAATACTCCTGCGTTTCCACAATATTTCCCCTTTTATACTGAAAAACTTCTTTCCATGATGCAATAATCTAACTCCTCTTTCCAAAATAACTCCTCACTGGGAATACTAATCAAAATCTAGGTCACTGTGCAGAGGAGTAAAAGAAATAAATAGGTTACTGGATTACATGTTAGCCCACATAATAAAAATGCAGTTAACTTTAAATAATTAAACAGTTTATACAAAATAATATATAGACATAATATGAATAACTGTAAATCTGCTACACTATATATTTATACTCGTACATGTGCTGTGAACGTGACTACGTTCATGAAATGACCTTGTAGATATTGATAACGCCATAAACGCCAAATTTTAGCATTTTAAAAGTAAACTTTGAAATTATTTAGCAAACAATCTAGCGAGAAGACATATTGATTTTGTTATATTTATATTTTTGATTTAACCTCATCTTGACATTTTGAAATTCCTGAATAATTCGTCTACGTCTTTAAAAAGTTATCCAACTTTTTTAAAGGAAACTATTTTCACAAAATTGGCTTTAAAAAGGCATTTTCCCATAAATTTCAATGGTTAAAGCGTCAAAAAGGATTAAAAACTATACCGCGTTTACAGTATTATAACATTAAAACTACAGTGCTGCTATCCCACAAGTTGACATGGGATGGGATCGGGTAGGATTCAATTGAGGATTCACGATAGAAACATATAGAAGTTAATCCAATCCTATCCTATCCTATCCTATCCTGTATCCTACAGCCAATCAGATTCGAGCAAAGGTTTATTCATATTTCAGAATAAATTACAAAAAAAAATACAATAAAATGTTAACAAAAGA